GATATTGTTTTTAGTTGGAAAATTAAAATGTTTATTCTTATTTGATAACAAATCAGAGAAAACTTATGATTTATAGAATGAATTAAAGCGGTTGTAACTTATATTCATATATATATCTCCGTGTCAAGGCGATTTCGTGTAAAGTAATGAAAAAAAAATTAATTACATTTATACGCTCGTATTTTAGATTTTTAATACAATAATGTATTATGTGTCATTTCTATTTTTCATTATGATTTATTGAGCAGACGTCTACATGTATCTCTAGATGGCCGTGATTATACATGTACTCGGACAAGATGATACAAAGATACATATTCATATTATTTGTTATAAATTCAATTTTCAGAACATTTAAGTAATATGGTGTTAAAATTTTTATTAAACAGACAAATGAGAGAGAGAGAGAGAGAGTACTATTCAGTTTTAGCCCCCCCCCCCTCCTTTCAGGCTTCACCAAATGTTTGTACCTATATCAAACAAAAACTTAGAATTTTTTTTCTAAATATATCAGACAGTGAAAGTAACTTTTTTTTTTTATCAACAAATCATATCCATTTGTTTGACAATCATACTCGTTTTTAGTTCACACGAAGTCCACGTGCTTGTCCTGTCAATCAAAATCATTCGACACTGTGCAGGTGTGAAAGTTTCGTCACATCGAAGACGAAGTGCGAGTATTTCCAACAAGTTATAACATTTATTTTTATCATTTCTAGATTTGATTCCAACATTTGAATAATAAATTAGTAAAATACATTGGGCATTAACACTTGAATGTGAAACATAACTCTCTGCCAATTTCAAATACCACCGCCGACACGTGTACATTTTGATCTACTATTGTTTTGTGACTTTTTTAGATGCATGTTTGTTTTGAGACTGAAATTTTTGTTCTAAAAAAGACCGTAGCTTTTTTTTAAAATGTTAATTAAAATATTCTGGAAATACGGTACTGACGAAGTCACCGATTTAGGGGGAAAGGGGGGGGGGGTATTAATCATATCGAATGGCAAACATATAAAGTTACGGTGAAGAAGGATTTTTTTCTCTATAAATATAGACTTTACATATTACAGTAGAGAAATTCTGTAGTGCATTACAATTTAAATAAATATTTCCTTTAACCACACTATCATTTTAATTCGTTCTAAAGATAATAAATTAACAGGATATCCGCAGTACTATGTATAACTCTCAGAACTAGTTCTATTATATTTTCTGTTGTAATTGAAAAAAAAAACGTAATAGAAATAAATATTTTCGTAATTTTGCTGCGTAATTATTTGACTTGAATAATTATATCTCCATTAACGATTTGTCGTCTTTAACAAAACAACAAAATGTTGCAGTGCTTGAAGTATTTGCACATTGCCCTTAGTTAAATTTAATATTTCAGCATCGTTCTACATAGGTACAGAATGTGCTTGTAACAACATTTATTTTCCAGAGTAATTTAATAAATAACTTAACAGCTAAGTTAGAATAATAAAAATATATATCGTAGATATTTTTCCTCATGAAATAATGATTCTTCAAACACGATATGTTAGTTAATAAATTAAAATAAAACCTGTAACTCCTTAACTACAAAAAGATAAGTCCTTTCACTTCGGAGTTCCGAATGACAATGAAAACTGAACGATAGGTGAACGCTGAACGCAAGGTGAACGCAAAGTGAACGGAACGAAGAGCGAACGCTGAACGTTTTGTGAACGGTGAACGCGAGCGCACGGTGAACGGTGAACGCAAAACTGTGAACGGAGAGCGAACGGTGAACGCACGGTGAACGAACGGTGAACGCACGGTGAACGAACGGTGAACGAACGGTGAGCGAACGGAAAAATGGGAAAGTAGAACGTTTCAGGGACTGTACATACAGACTTGTACTGTATTACTTGCAATTTCTTCTTTTTTTTCATGGCCGTAGGAACCATGAAGAAGAGGGAACCCCCCCCCCCATATTTTGCCAATATATATATTATGCTAACTTAATTTATGCTTGTGTCCCAAAGGTCATGTAAACAATAAGTAAACATATTTATATTAACTTTTTGATTGATAAAAAATTTCTTTGATAGTGCTCACCTCCCCTTTGATATTTTTGGTTGTGCACCCCTTCTCCGTGACATTTCTAGATACTAGATAAAACCAGTGCTTTTAAAAGAAAAAGTTACTTCACATATTACAATCTAAACATTATTTGGTGAACAGTTGGGAGACTTATGATTTCTTTTTAAAATACATTGTAAAAAATTTTTATAAATGAGCTAAGTACATCTTTCCATATACACATTAAAAAGTTAATCATCTACCATCATCTCGAGAACTTTTTAACTATGACTAAATCAAACCTCTGCAAACTAAGGAATATGTGTAATTCTAAAGGTAGAAAGACTGTATGCATTTAAAATAAACATCTATTAGTTAATCTGATAGCTTTGACCTGAATAGCTTTGCTGGATGTAGATGAATGATAGTGATGCATAACAGAATGGCCAAATGTTATGTAACGTGTAATATATAATGTGATAATAATTAGGTGCAATGCTTTGGCTTGTTAGGGTGTTAAGCATGTTTCCATTAAACCCCATGGTTAAGAGAGAATGAAGTTTCCTAGATCGAGTTATCAAAATAATTTTATTGAACGACTTGACCAACAAGCCTTGGCTAAATCTCACTCGGCACACCTCGGCCGATTCGTACCTCATCCGAGGTTTGCCGAATGGGCTAAATCTAATATTGCCTGACGCCATGACGTCAGACAATAATATGAGTACATGTACATGTTTACGCTCTTGGGAAAAAAATCATGCATAGAAAGGTAATAAAATTGAAACGTTACTATTTAAAATTAAGTATTTACACACTGAAAAGAACCCCAATCTACCAACATCGATTTTATAGACTGTTCCATGAGACACACATTTTATAATTTTGGCTTTATTTCAAGAATACGAGGAGTGATTTTTTTTTTTACCTTTTCTCATTGACAAAAAACGCAAATTAGAAATTGCATAAAGAAAATGATAACAGTTGCTTTGTTTATTAACTCTTAAAATCTGAGCCAGGTAAAGAAAACTGTATATTTTCCTAATACTTTTCTCTAGGGGTAAATTTAAATAAAAAAGAATATAGTGCACACATCCGAGAAAATACTCATAATGATTCTTTATGATCTTTATTCCAATGCCTGCAGCACTGAGTTACTTAAATCAGAGACATTTATTATTATGTTTCTGCCTGAATTGTGCTATTAGGTAAAATTTCTTTTCTTCGAACTTTATTATCATTATTATTTTTTTTAATAAGTTCTGTTTTATTTTTCATATATACGGGATTAATTATCGATTGACTAAAGTGCTCATAAAAGTAAAGTTTTTGCCATTGCATATATGCATTTAATGTGAGTTGTTATTTAAATGTTTTCACTGTTTTCTTTCGTCAGTAAATCTTGGATCCACGCCTTGGTTTATACATTCAATATGCCATGTTTTGTGTATTTTGATCCCCGCGCGCTGACCATCGTTTTACGCAATAGCCTAGATGCAATGTTTATGTATATGAACCGTTAATGAAGACCCACCACCACCCAAGTGATCCTACCTCTATTACTCTTAATGAACACTGGTGTAGTTTTACTTTAACTTTAAAATGGACCATTTTGTTTAATAATAATAAGACAGACTTTGGTTAATTTTGTTTACATCTCTATATTTAGAAATCGTGTCATCGTCAGTTCCTTTGCCAGACCACCAGCTTATCAATGGCAGCTTACACTAGGACTTTACTTCCGGTGATTCAAACTTAATGTGTTATCTCCCGAGGGAGATGACAACTAGAAAAGAGTCCATGAAGTTTTAGAAGAAGTCATGAAGGAATGAAGGTAGAAACACCATTTTCTAAACACCACAACTATCATTTCTACACAAGACCTCCTTTTTAAACAGATAAGCGCAAGAACTTGGACACGGAAAGTGAAATATTTAACGTTATTATGACGGAAAACGTACCATAGTACTTACCACTTGACCAGACATGATGCGCTTCTTAAAAGGAAGACTACAAATGATAATGCACGATTTTTTTCTCCCATATGGTCAGTAAACAATGTGTACGATATGGGTGATTGACCACCATATGGGAGATAGAGTACCAAATGGTGGGGTGTGCATCCTGTCTGGCCTTATTCCTGGAACCTTTCGCCGTGTCACAACGATCCCCTCAGCTCAGTCTATGTATCCAGCACAGGTCATATCAGTATACTTGACGCTACAACAGTTGGTACTGATATGACCTGTGCTGGATACATAGACTGAGCTGGGGGGATCATTGTGACACGGCGAAAGGTTCCAGGAATAAGGCCAGACAGGATGCTGTTTGTTGATCCAGATAATTGATGGTGGACGGATAACAGATAAGTCTATCCAAGAAAAGGTTGTTAGCTCATTATACGAAATGGTAAACCAATTGATTTCATTCCTGCATCGAGGATGAGGATGATGATGATGAAGATGATGATGGCAATGATAATCATTGATCTAAGAACATGTTTGGCATTGATGTTGAGTGAATTGTATACCCGGGGTTAATTGGTTAATTTTTTGTTTGATTATTGGTTACCAATTGTTTTTGTTTGTTTGTTAAATAGTGCGGAAGAGTGTGGGGATCAGAGTGCGGTTGTTCGTGTGAGACCTTTATTATTATTATTATTATTATATTGTAAATAAATTTATTTTCTTTAAGTTAGATGAATTTGTATGGATTTTGGAGATGGCCAGCTTGACCACGTGATAATTATGCACACTGACCACATGTAAAGGGGATACAAATCTGCCTGAGAATATTGAATTTTTTTTACGTCAAGCCACCATTCAACTAGAGTTATATCCCTTGCCAGAAAAAATAGGATCAAACCAATGTAAATTTTAGCTTTGAAGCTTAATCATCTTCTCTTATAAAATTCAGGCCAGGTAATGTTTTTTGGTTTCTTCATTTACCTGCTCTTTGACAGTTAGGCTGTTCTCTTGAAGAGTCATAATGGCATCAGATATATAAACATTTATTCGGGGTACTACGGCCTCCATGTTGAATGGTCCATCAAGGCGGCTTGCCAACTGTTTCATAGCCTCTGAAAAATACATTGTTAGTTGCAATTTCAATCAATGAACTCCAGTTATCATATCTTTTATTTATAATTCATGTCAATGCAAAGTCTTAAGCAATATTATATATGAAGTCTCGAAGGTTTGTGAAGTTGTACGCTTTAGTGGAACCTAAATTTCAACCTAAAGTACATATAGTGGGGTGATAACTTTGGCTTATTTTAGCGGTTTTGTAGGAAGCCGCTATATTTTAATCGCCAAATTTTCACTTTTCTTAATCACTACTGAAAAGAAGGAAAATCACTAAATATAACTTTTATCTGGTGTTTTATTTACTCAAAATTTTGCGTAAATCGGTATTCAAACGTATATTAAACGTACTGAAACTTTCTAAAAGATAAATTTCTTCTCTTTTGCAATGTCACGGAACTCTGTGTCCGCCAAAAAAAGTTCAGCAAAATTTATTGGCATACCTTGGAGCAAGCAAAACGCCAAATTTTACACATGCTAAAGAAACCCGCTATATGGTATGTGAATTATAGGAACAGTGACCCGCAAAGAAAAACACAGCAACCAAGGATATGGAAATTATAAGCTGAAATTTTACACCACATTTGCTATAGCAACACATCAGTTCAATATTCTTTTGAAATCTCTCAAGGAATATCCTTAAAGTGAGAATAGAGTAAAAGTATGTTGAAAAGATAATTCATCATGTAAAAGCTGTGTGTAAAGGACAGAGGAACCACACTATGTCTACAAGAGCGTTGATTTATAGCAGACAGGATTATTCCCTGGCTCTATTAATAACCTATCCTTTCTTACCGACTCTATTGATAAAATGTTTGCTCAAGTCAGTCAACCTGGAATCCAATTCTTATTTAACCCCAGTGTGCGCAGAATATTTTTTTTTTTGCCTTTGGGGTATGATTTTATTTAAAAAAAAAAACTGTCTTCCTTCAAATAACAGTAAAATATCACTACAACCTGTTTTAATTTACTGTACATACTTATGCACATCAATTACATTGCACTTGCAGATAAAGTTCAAATATTGCAAAAACTATAAATTAAACCTGCGCGATTCATAAAGTTAGCTTATATAGATTAGTTACGATAAATCAAATTAATTAAAAGTATCTTTTATCTATAATTAAGCATTGTATGTACTCCTACAACCATTTTATCTGCTAATTTCAAATTAAAATGTCATACTTTTATAATGCACAGAATAAATTGCAGTCCCGGTTTGTGGAATTCGTTATCGTTGTCTTACAATGTTTACGAACATGGAAAATGGACTTGATCAGAGTCGAAAGAGAGAGAAGAGGAAGGCGTGAAGAACAGTGAAGAATAATATTCAGATTTATTTATTGACTGCCGTCATGAGAAAAAGGCCCTTGAGGTCAATATTTCACAAAATGACTTTTGGTAAATTTGGATAGACCAACTCTCTCTGAATTTAAATATACACCACTTTTATAAATATCTCATTCTTTCACTATTTTATAATCATTTTAGTAAGGCGCTTCAAAACGACGTTAGGACGTAATGACGTCGCATGCGTCAAATTCAGTTTCTAATTATTCAAAATATAATTTTCTTAACACATATAAACTCTAGACGATGTTTTATATATATGTCTTCTCCCAAGATCCTAAATTGTCAATATATTCTGAAGTTGCCTTTGTTTTTACATGTGTACAATTCCAGAGCCAGATCCATTAATTTTGAAGGGGGGGTCTAGACAGGTTCTAGAAACGGATTGTATTAATTCAAAAATATGATACATGTACTGTACAATTATACATTAGGCATTTTTTTATATTTGAAAGTCTAGCCCAGTTAAAAATTTATATATATAAAGCACATGTACATTGAAACATAAAAAAAACTACACAGATGTCCCGGAAAAAGGGGAAATCCATCCCAAATAAAACCATGTATTTTCTGTATCAACGATAAATACTAATGGGAACAGATATTCACACACGTAATGGTGTAAAAATTGTTTCTTAAAAATAGTTTATTACGTAGTATGTAAAAATTCATATACATGTATTTAAAAAGATTTTTTTTTAAATTTCCAAGCGAATCTTTTTGTATACGCTGAAAAAAGTATGTTTTCAGTGTTAAAAAATTCTGCTTCTGCGCCTATCTTAGTTGGATTAGAAACAGGAATAAGAGGCACATAATCACGTCTTAGGATTAACTTATAAAAGTTAATCTAGTATATGAAAATTGATACTTTTCTTTTCACAAGTAAATTACTTTTTATCAAAAGCGGTTATAAATGAGTCAGTTTTTTTTAAAAAATATCTTTCTTTCTTTTTTTCACCTTTGCTATCTTTAATTGATACAATTTAATTTCAAACGTTTCCTCCTTTTTGAGGCTAATAAGACATGTACACAACAAATGACATCTCATTTCTTAAAATGGCTGCTAATGTATTTTCAAAAAGAAAACATTCGGGATATTGGTTTCTGTAATAAATGATTCCTTATAGTGTCCGAATATTGATTTGGCAATCTGCAATCATATTCCCCTGATATAAATTCTCAAATGTAGTTGACAGTCACGTACATGTATCTTGTTTTAGCTAATAAAAGCTGAAATTGTTTTTATTATTTTTTTTCTTACATATACAGCCATACATTAACAAAAATTCGTCCTTACATACCTCAGGGTTTTCAATGTTGTTAGAAGTAGTAAAAGAATTTATTATACCTCAGTATAACTGTTCCATACAACGCGTTACCTGATTTGTCCAATACAGTCACTTGACAGGGTCATAAAACTTCATATTTCCCTGTCGCCGTTGTGCTACACCACAACGAAAACATCGTACAGATTGCCCCTTTGCAATACGTATCATTCGTTAAACTAAAAATTCCGAGAGTTGCAAAATTAATAATATTACAAAGGGTTCATCTACCAAACAGTGACGAAATTAGCAATTATCTTCTTTCCAATAAGGGTGTTTTGAAAAAGGGGAAAAATATACGGAAGACAATTGACTGACTTTTTAAAAAGTGAATTAGAAAGTGGAGCCTAAATTGAATATTATTTACAAAGGCTTGGCTTTTTCGGTATAATACCGCAAACGATTCATTTCATTATCATGAGGGAAATACAAACATTTATCCAGCCAATAAAATCCATTCCCCCCGGGGAAACCATCCGAGAATGATTTAATCCTCATATTTCGCAGACGATCATGCACTAAAAATATAATGCATGTTAAGACTTCATGGTTTGTAATATTTTGAGCTGGCAGCGTAAATATACAGAGAAATTAATCAAGAAACAGTGCATTCTTTTATGCGCAATTAATATGTACTTTTTTGTCAATTTTGGTCAAGGGGGGGGGGGATTATACTTCTCTAATCGCCCATTCCAATTTCCTCTTGCAGATCAACGAGCTACAGATCAGCAACTGTAAAGTTGTTTGTAAATTCTCGACTCTTTTTTTTATTTCGCTTAACAGGTGCGCTTATTTTTCATCTTTTCCGTAACGCAGATTTATTTATTGTCTTTGTTGAGCTTGCGATTAATGTTCATTTGGTTGATGATTTTGAAATTTTTTATAACATTTTAAGTGAAACCCCACCCGTGGCCACTTGTTAGTTGTTACCAATACTTTTTCTATCAAAAGATGTCGTCATTTAACGGAAGTAAATAATTTCTTTCCAGTCTAAGCTATGTATTGTTTCTTTTGTTTCATACATATAGTTTTAAGAATAAGTATACTATTGTCGATGTATTTATTGTTTTTCTTTAATATTGAGATATGCTCTTGGAGGTAAAGTCGGTTGGGTGGGGGTTCCACAGTAACGGTATTTTATTCCTAAACAAAATTCAAGCTCATTTTCAAGCTTTCATTGGAACAAATTAAACAAAATAGAATCAAAAGTAATTGGTATCAGCTGAGAAAAAAAACTTTCATTATTATTTCACTTTAAAAAAAAAAATACTTCGTATTTTGAAATTCACCAGCACTTTCGCGCAGTTGCTTTATGCTTTCCAAGATCAAGAAATTGCACTTTTATTATTCATACTCACAATATGTCCTCTATTGTGTTGTGATTATTTATACACAGATGTCCCCTATTGTTTTGTGATAATTTTTACTCATATTTCCTCCATTGGTTTTAGAATAATTTATAAACACGTCCCTTCTTGAATTATGATCAGGTACACATACATGTCCGTTATGATTCGCAATGATTTATATAAAAAAAAATTCTATTGTATTGTAATGTTTTTCATACAGGAATGTCCCCTTTTGTGTTGTGATTTTTTATACCCACAATGTCCCCTATTGTATTGTGATTTTTTATACAGAAATTTCCCTATTGTATTGTGATTATTTATACACATATATATGTCCCCAATTGTATTGTGGTTTTTTATACACAAATGTCCCTATTGTATTGTGATTTTTATACACATATATATGTCCCCTATTGTATGGTGATTTTTTATACACAAATGTCCCCTATTGTATTGTGATTTTTTGTACAATATATATATCCCCTATTGTATTGTGGTTTTTTATACACAGATGTCCCTATTGTATTGTGATTTTTATACACATATATATGTCCCCTATTGTATGGTGATTTTTATACACAAATGTCCCCTATTGTATTGTGTTTTTTTGTACAATATATATATCCCCTATTGTATTGTGATTTTTTATACACAAATGTCCCCTATTGTATTGTGATTTTTTTTATACACATATTTCCCATATTGTATTGTGATTTTTTTATACACATATATATGTCCACTATTGTGTTGTCGTTTTTACAATTGAATTATTTTTATACCATTATCGGAAGTTAAGTTTGAGTCTGCTTAACAAATATCAGAAATTGCATGTTTAACAAAATATTTGGCAATAACATGGGGTTTTAAGGTATTGCATCCGTTATCTTATCATAAGCAAATCAGCAATGTTCCGAAAAATAAATTCCCCTATCTTTTCTGTAAGCGATGCCAAGGCTTCCTGAAAATGACTTT